CGTCAAGAATCGATGCAGTAGATCACGAAAATTAGAATCACGATGCATCATCATGACGATTATTTTGCACACCCCTAGTGTCCTGTGGGAGGGCCTGGTCTTTGGGGTGGGTGTCCTGTGGGAGGGCCTGGTGTTTGGGGTGGGTGTCTTTTGGGAAGGCCTGATCTATGGGGTGGGTGTCCTGTGGGAGGGCCTGGTGTTTGGGGTGGGCGTCCTGTGGGAGGGCCTGGTCTTTGGGATGGGTGTCTTTTGGGAGGGCCTGATCTATGGGGTGGGTGCTCCTGTTGGAGGGCCTGGTCTTTAGGGTTGGTGCTCCTGTGGGAGGGCCTGGTTTTGGGGTGGGTGCTCCTGTGGGAGGGCAGGTCTTTAGGGTGGGTGCTCCTGTGGGAGGGCCTGGTTTTGGGGTGGGTGCTCCTGTGGGAGGGCAGGTCTTTGGGGTGGGTGCTCCTGTGGGAGGGCCTGGTCTTTGGGGTTGGTGCTCCTGTGGGAGGGCCTGGTCTTTGCGATGGGTGTCCTGTGGGAGGGCCTGGTCTTTAGGGTGGGTGCTCTTGTGGGAGGGCCTGGTCTTAGGGGTGGGTGTCCTGTGGGAGGGCCTGGTCTTTGGGGTGGGTGTCCTGTGGGAGGGCCTGGTCTTTGAGGTTGGTGCTCCTGTGGGAGGGCCTGGTCTTTGGGGTGGGTGCTCCTGTGGGAGGGCCTGGTCTTTGCGATGGGTGTCCTGTGGGAGGGCCTGGTCTTTGGGGTGGGTGTCCTGTGGGAGGGCCTGGTTTCCCATTGGGTAGGTGGCATCCACCCTTCATGCTCCTACTCCCTGCCATGTTTCCCACCGTCACCAACTCCACATGGTCTGCATTCTGTACCGTACCCAGTAGAACTGAGCTGAGTGGTTCTGACCCGCTCTCTGTGACTGTTCCAGCTCAGGCTCGGGTGAGCGACTCCATGCTGGCCGAGACCATGATCGGTAAGGCGGTGGAGCACATGTTCGAGACAGAGGAAGGTCCCAAGGAGGAGTGGCGGGGGATGGTTCTGGCTCGGGCCCCTATCATGACATCCTGGTTCTACATCACCTATGAGAAGGACCCGGTTCTGTACATGTACCAGCTGCTGGACGACTACAAAGAGGGAGACCTGCGCATCTTGCCCGACTGCAGTGAGTGTCTGTCCAGACCCTGTTCAGTGCAGGGCGCCGTGCTCCGGCCCGTTCGGGCTACTATAACGCAAAGGTTCTTGTGTTTGTGTCCACAGACGACAATATGGCGTCAGAGCGGGAACCTGGCGAGGTGGTGGACAGTCTGGTGGGGAAGCAGGTGGAGTACGCCAAAGAGGGTGGCGGGAAGCGTTCGGGAATGGTGATCCACCAGGTGGAGGCCAAGCCCTCCGTCTACTTCATCAAGTTCAACGACGACTTCCACATCTACGTCTACGACCTGGTCAAGACCTCCTAGGAGCCCAGAAAGTTCCAGGACAGCAGCCGGATTTCAGGGCATCCAGAGAGACGAGTTGTGTGGCGCCGCGTCCTCATCAGTCATTATTCTTTAAAGTTTCACCTGGTTCCGCTGAGACTCGTCACAAACATCATAAACCTTTGCGTCGGTCCGGACCTGCAGACAGAATCCAGGGGAACCGCCCGTTTCCTGAAACCGAGCTGGACCCCCTGTGGTTCTGAGCTCATGGGGTTAATGAAGGGAGCGGCCCAGACCAGAACTCCTGCTTCTGGTGCCGGACGCAGCGGGTCAGCTGCTGGGGTTCTGTTTCCGGGTCCAGTAAAGACGTTCCCTGTAATTAAGCATTCGGTTCGGACCGGCGCCGCTCTGAATACATTTGTGCCAAAACGACCTTCACATAGTTGAACTGTTTAAATGTTCTGATCCAAACCACAGATTGTTCTGCCCAGAACCATCCTGGATTATTTTCCACATGTGTCACCGGTTCCGGTATGACCCAAACCCCCCCCCATCTGTATAAAAACGGACACCAGTCTGTTCTGGACCCTCTCTGAGATTCTGTTCTGGTCCAGACTTGTTCCGTCTGAAGTTCTCGGGTCGCCGTTGACTGAACGGTACCGGTTCCTCTGTGTTTCTGTTCTGTCAAAGCTGCTTGGTTCCCGGCCGGAGAAAGGAGGTTCTGGATCTCGTAGGAATGGAGCCGGTTCTGGGACCTGTGTGGTGCTGGCAGGTCCGGGCCGGTGTTTGGACCGCCTCCTGGTCTCTGTAGCTCTTATGATCCGTTTCCTGGTGCCGTGTTGCCTGATCCATATCTCACGTGCCTGAAGGGTCCGATCTAGAAGGTTCTGCTGGCCGGCGGAGAACATCTCTGATCCAATCTGATCCAGGAGCTTCGGGTTTCAACCGTTTCTAATTTTAGAATCTAGATTCCTGATCTGTTCCTTTTGGTTCCTCAGAAGCTGCAGTTCTGGTCCAGACCCGGTTCAGAAAACGCCTTTTAACAGCTTAGACCTTTACTTTTGATTCGTAGAAATAAAATCTGTCAACCCAGAACCAAACGCAGAGTTCTAGAACCGGCGGGCCGTGGTTCTGAACAGAATCAAGGTAAAGATAAAAGCTGCTTCTAGAGCTGTGGCTCTAGGAACCAGAATCTGGTTCTGATCTGGTTTGGACCTATTAACCGTTCCAGAGCAAAGGAACAGCCGGGTCGGGTCCGGAACAGCTGGATTCTTCTGAGACCAGTTTATCGGCTGATATCTGGTAGCAAACTTTAAAATCTGTTTTATTTTGGAGAGTTATTTTTTTTACTTCCTGTTGGACCCAGAACCTTCCCAGTTCTTGTTTTAGTGGAAATTCTGATGTTTCTTCATTTCCATGTTTCTCCAGGTCCATTCAGGTTTTTAACCTTGAAACATCTCATCCTGCCTTCCTGACCTTTGACCTTTAAAGTCACCAGAAATCCAAGCCTTTTAAAACCAACAGAAGTGAACCTGAAGCTCCTGGCTTCATCGGTCGCCTTGAAAGTGGAACTTTAGTTTCCACAGAGAACCAGGATTTATAGATCTGATGCAGTTCTATAATGACTGAATCTATAAACGTATCTCTGCTCTAGAAGTGGTTGTTTAACCTCAGCTTTATTCGTTGGAGGATTAGAGCTTTTATTTCCTTGATCGCGGTTCGGATCCTAGAACTTGAGGTAAAATCAAAGTGCTTGTGACGTCTTGTTTTGTAATTCTAGAACAGATCTGACTTCCATCTGGATGTTCTGGGAGAACCTTGAAATAACAAAATCTACATAGTTTTCATTTCTTACAGTGACTGAAGATGTTTTATTGAATGATCCGTTCTTGAAGAGTATTTAGTTCTAGACGCCAGTTTCGATGCAGCTTTTTTTTAATCCGTTCTCTAAATAATTTTCCGTTTCTTGACATCGTCAACATTTTCCACTACAAGCAGCTCTGCTGCAGCTGGAAACCAGCTGAAAGGATCCAGATGTTCTGTCAGGACTCGTGGAGAAAACATGCTAGCAGCACTGACTCTCCTTCCATTTGGTTCTAGAAAGTAGATCTAGAATCCACCCACTGCTGCTCTAGAATCACTGGGGAATGTGAACCGTAACGCCCCCTAAAGGCAGATGTGATGTTTGAGGATAAAACAGGGTCCGTTTTTGTTTTTTTTCCAGAAAACGTTGGATCTGTGGTGTGATTGGTTGTGTGCACCGTGGCTCCGCCTCTGTTCAGATAGTGTTACTGCATGCCTTAATAACCGACGTTTGTCGCATGTTTGTAGTTTTTCGGTTGTTCGGTCCAGGCCTGTCTGCTTTTGGTGCCTCTTGTTTTATTTTTACGTTTCCTGGTTTATACTGTTAGCCCCGCCCCCTGAGCAGAGGCGACGTGAAGATGGCTGTAAATTTGATGTTTCAGGGTGCCAACTACAGATGCCAGTGTTGTACAGCGATGGAGAGCTCGCTTTATTTACATGAATAAAAACCTGTTTTTCATACGACTCCGTCTGTGATTCACTAGCGACTAAAACCAGAAATATGAAAGTAGAAAATACAAAATAAACTCAAAGGCTCTGATCCAGGAGGGCTTTCTGTGTGAGAAAAGTAGAAGGTTAGTTGTAGAAGTAGCTTCATTCAGGAGGGAAACAGAAAAGCTTCAGGTCTACAGGATGAAAGAGAGCAGATCTAGTTAGTTACAATGAACATGCAGCCAGTAGCTCTAGGAGAGGAAGAGTTAACCACTGATAGACCAAGTAGATCATCTACAGAACATGAAGCAGCGGCCCGGCTGAAGCCTTCATCCAGGATCGTGTCAAAGCTCAACAAAAACAAGCAAGATGAAGCTACAACGAAGAAAAACTAAACATCAAGATGTAATAAGTGCAAAATAGAATGATGAAAAAGGGGTCCCTATGTCCTCCAGCAGTCTAAGCCTATAGCAGCAGAACTATAGATGAACAGAACTCAGACGAGATCCTGGAGAAATGTTTCAGTTCTGGGTTTTTGTTTCTGCAGAAAATCTTCTGTTCCTGTTGGAGTCCAGCAGCTGACGTCACCTCAGCCTCCAGGCGTTAAACCGACCCGGATGAGCCGCCTCGGGGGTCTGGACTAATTCCTGGCTCTCCCTCCTCCCCTTTCCCTTCCCTCCCCCCTCCCTTCTCCCTCCCCCAAACCCTGCTCTGAGTCCAGACTGAAGCAGCGTCCTGATTGGCCGCCTCTACCCGCCCACCCCCACCACAGGTGGATGAATGAAGACTCCAGCGGTTCCGGGGCCCCAGGAGGACGAGGGTGAGTTTGGGACCAGAACTTCTCAGACATCAAATGTTTGGGTTTCCGATGGTTCCAGCCTGTTTTGCTCGGTTCTGCTGAGGCGGATCACAGCGCCCCCTGCTGACCTTTCTGTGTTTTCTGTTCCAGGACATCCAGGCGTCTCTGCAAACATGATGAAGAAGAAGAATCCTCACAAGTAGGTCCTAAAATGTAACCTCCAGTATAAATGCCTGGTTCTTTTGGACCAGAGGTTGAAGCCAAGAGTCGAAGGTGTTACTGTGCCAGTTAGCGCCAACATGGAGTCATGAACATGTTTTATGGAAGGTTTTTCCGTCTTGCAGGAAGCAGAAGACCAGCATTGGTCCCAGTAAGACTCTGGTTCAGCCCCAAAGGAACATGGTTGGCTGCAGGATCCAGCACATCTGGAAGGAGGGCAGTAAGTTGGGTTTAAGTGATGCGATAGTGAAGATTTTCTCTGGTTTTTAAAGAATGATGCAAAGAGCGCTGCTCTTCCCACCAGGTAAATCCTCCCAGTGGAAAGGCACGGTCCTGGACCAGGTACCCGTCAATCCCTCCCTGTACCTGATCAAATACGACGGCTTCGACTGCGTCTACGGCCTGGAGCTGCACTCCGACGAGCGGGTGGTGGGGCTGGAGGTGCTCCCTGACAGAGTGGGTGAGGAGCCACTGCCGGTTCACTGCCTCGCTTCGACATCTGGAAGACATTCCTACCTCTGATTGGCTGAGATCCAGATGGTCACATTCTAGAGCATGTCTACTTCCATATCTAGGAAGGTCTAGATTAACAGACACGGGATTCTTAATGGAATGGTATAATTTCATTAGTAAAATACACTGAAATCTAGATATAAAGATCTATGACCTTTTGACTTCTAAACTATTACATCTTTTAATGTATTTCTAGAGCAGTTTGATTTGATTTGCTTTTAGAGCTTTAATTTGGGGAAAATAAAATGGCTCAAACGTTTTGTAGAAACTGGAGACTTGATCTATGTCTATCAGATTCAATGAACTGCAGTCCAAGTATTAAGTTTCCAGAAACACAACAGCTTAGAAAACGAACTACCTTCTTTCATTCCTGCAGTTTTGGAGGGTTTAGGCTGTTTGGGGTTATATTGTTCTGGATTAGGGCTGCCAGTCCTGGGATGGCTGTCTGTTGTGTGGATGTTCCCTGTGGGAGGGGCTAGTTTTTAGGATGGGTGCTCCTGTGGGAGGGCCTGGTCTATTGGGTGGGTGTCCTGTAGGAGGGCCTGGTCTATTGGGTGGGTGTC